TATATAAACAATCTCAACCTAACAACGTTCTAAATAGAATGGGTTTGAACTGGCGATCTTGTGATTACAAGCAGACAGGCTTAGCACACTGAGCCATGGACACAGGTACAAGAATCGCTGCTGAAAATGGCAACAATTTCTACCTATATATATTTGAAAAGTAGACCGTCCAAGGTTTCTGAGGGTGTTTTTTAAATGTGTATATGACAAAAACTCGCAGTGTTATTTAAATGATTTGGCGAAATTTCTGTCAGGCGGGACCGCCGACCCCAGAGGGTTAAAATAAAGTGCACAAAACACTACTTTTGAATTCATTACTAAATTTTGCGCATAACATTGCAATTAATCACGATTAATCAGACAAATCATGCGATTAATCACGATTAAAGATTTTAATCGTTGCCCAGCACTAGAAAATATTCATCTTATTTTGTCATTCCATTCAGTGAGATTTACTTTATGGTGTTAAAGTTAAGCATTCTTCTTTTCTAAGACTGCTACTGTGATCCACATTCACCAGTTCCAAAACTTCCAACACCTAATTTGGCTTCCAAAATTTTGAAATCATTATCACCGTCATTGCTTACATGACATGTTTTGCTGTAACTAAAATCAGTGTCGATTGTTTTCAGAGTAACAAGATATTTGCCATCAGATTGTAAAGTTATAATACTTTTTATATATAGTTTTACATTTGATTTTATGTATTTAATGCTCTGCATTGCTGCCTTTGAAGTGTTCTCACCATTTATGTTTTCTCCACAAAAGATCCATGCAAAAATGCCAACTGTCGAGTGAAGGAAACATGTAAAGTACAGAAGGGTGAAGCTGTGTGCATCCCAGACTATACAGGCACTTGCTGGGGCTGGGGCGATCCCCACTACCACACATTTGATGGATACGACTACAACTTCCAGGGCACCTGTACATACACTCTCTCTAAGACATGTGGGAACCTGACGGGCCTGGTACCCTTCTCTATTGTGGAAAGGAATGACAACCGAGGAACTACCGTGGTTTCTTACGTCAGGGATGTGGAGGTGTTTGTGTATGGCTACAACATCACCATGATTAAATACCAGAACGGCCGGATCTTGGTGAGATGTTTAAAGTGCATACATACATATAACCCATAGGCTCTAAATTATTGTATTCTTCAATGTAACAATGTCTGTCAGTCTGTCCTGGTGCTTTATAAAAACAAATTCAGTTGAGCTGAATTGTATAAACAGGGAAAAAGTATGATAATTCTCAGCTGAGTTACTCCACCTGTTGGTTATATACAGTAGACATATTTGAATTTACACTCAGTCACATGGAATACAAAAGTCCCTACTATCCACTGCCAAGCTGTGCTTTATAGGTTTTACACACACACCTGCAGAGGCGAAGAACTGCCCGAGGCGAAGCTGAGTGCATTTGAAATTGATAATGTACGGCTTGCAGTGCATTAACCCACTTATACCATGGTTACCACACTTTTAGCTTACACACTTTTAGCTTTTGTACTTGAAAACATTATTTTCCAAGTTTATGAACCAAAAGCGCATTTTTAAGTAGAAGTACTATGTAGGCTTGGGAGGTGGGAGCTAGATAAGTTACGCCAGGGAGGTATTTACTGTACGTCGCTTAATTCATCCGAGATCAGATGCCTCAGCTTGGATGAGTTAATGCCAGTGAAACTCATCTGGGATAAGTTGTTTTTTCAAAGGCAGCTGTGTAGTAGATTAGTCTAGCTGGATCCATTCATCTGAGATGACTGCGTGCGCACAAGCTGATTAAAAAGCCTATATATATCGAGTCTAGAAAACATGATCAGCAGGTCTTTGACAGGCTCCCAACAAAATGACAAAAGAAAGGGTGCACTTTTTCACACAAGCGGAGCAGGACCACATATTATAAGGATATGAAGAATTTCAAGAACTAATATGCACAAGGGGTAACACGGCAAAAGTAGCCCAAACCAAAAAGTGGCCGACAAATTAAATGTGGAAGTAGTGTTCATTGTACTTACTGAATGCAGCGTTTAATTTCCTATGTGTCAGATTAATTATTATTTAATATATCATAATTCCAGATAAAACATAAGCACAATGACAATGTGAACAGTGATTGGACTTCTGTTCTAATCACGGTTTGTCCATAATGAGCACCATGTTCGAACATAAGTGCACTTGGCACCAGAGCACCCTAGGCTGCAGTTTGATGATTGATTTTGTAATTGTATCATCGGATGTACATTCACATGTTTTGGACACTGGGAGCTGAGCCGTCAACCAATCACCACCTGGTGGTGAGTTGGATCTGATGGCAGGGCTAGATGCTGGATAGACCCAAGCACATAGTGAGGGTATGCTGGGAGCATCTGGCAGAGACCCCAGTCTGGGAGATCTTTAACTAACTCCTCTGGCAGAACTTCTCTTGCATCCCGAGGGAGTCAGAGGATATTGACCCTGAATGGGTCATGTTCTGGAACTCCATTACTGAGGTGGCAGTGTGGAGCTGTAACCGTAAGATTGTTGCTGCCTGTTGCGGCGGCAATCCCTGAGCCCAGCAGTAAAGGGAGCTTTCAAACTGAAGGAGGAAGCCTTCCTTGCTTAGTTAGCTTATGGGACTTCTGAAGCAGCTGGCTGTACTGTCAGGCCAAGGGGAAAGAGGCTTTTGCAGTTGCTGAAGCAAAAACTCGGGTGGCCTCAAAAAGGATCTGGTAAACCGACAGGCAACTCAAGGGGGGGGGAAGCAGGGCTTTACCCATGCTGTTTACAGCAGGAATGGAGAACTGTTGACCTCAACTGGGGATACAGTCAGGCAGTGGAAAGAATATTTCAAGGATCTCCTGAATCCCATGGATACACCTTCCTTGGAAGAAGTAGAACTAGGAGTCAAAGAGGGGGATTTGCCCATCTCTAAGGCTGAGGTCACTGAAGTAGTCAAAGATCTCTTTGGTGATAAGGCTTTGGGGTGGATGAGATTTACCCTGACTTCTTGAAAGCTTTTGATGTTGTTGGGCTGTCTTAGCTGACATGCCTCTTCAACATATCGTGGACATTGAGAACAATGCCTTTGGATTGGCAGACTGGGTTGGGGGTCCCAATCTTTAAGAAAGGGGATCAGGGGATGTGCCTCAACTTCAGGGGGATCACACTCCTCAGCTTCCCTGGTAAGGTATATGCTGGGGTACTGAAGAGGAGGGTCCACCCGTTGGTCAAACCTCAGATCCAGGAGGAAGAACATGGATTCTGTCCTGGCTGCGGAATACTGGACCAGCTCTTCACCCTCACAAGGATACTGGAGGGTTCATGGCAATATACCCAACCAGCCTACATATGTCTTCTGGACATGGAAAAGACATACGATCATGTCCCTCGGGGGTGGGGGGGTCCAGTAGGGGGTGTATCTGGAGTATGGGGAACAGGGTCCATTGTTGCGGACCATCAGGTCTCTGCAGCATGCACTGGGGGTGGTTTGCAGGATGAGGATCTGCACCTCAAGTCTGAGGCCATGGTTCTCAACTGGAAAAAATTTGGATTTCTCTCTCCTGATGAGAGAGGAATTGCTGCCTCAAGCAGAGGAGTTAAAGTATCTCGGAACCTTCTTCACGAGTGAAGGGAGAAGGGAGTGGGATATCAACAGATGGATTATCACAGCATTGGCAATAATGCAAACACTGTACCATTCTGTTGTGGTAAAGTGGGAGCTGATCTGGAAGGTGAAGCTTTCAATTTACCAGTCGATCTACATTCCAACCCTCACCTATGGTCATAAACTCTGGGTAGTGACTGAAAGAATGAGATCGTGTCTGACAGAAATGAGTTTCCTCTGCTGGGCGTCTGGGCTCAGCCTTAAAGATAGGGTGAGGAGCTTAGACATTGAGGAGGGGCTCAAAGTAGAGCCACTGCTCCTCTGCATTGAAAGGATCCAGTTTATATGGTCCAGGTATCTATCTACGATGCCTCCTGGATGGTTCCCTAGGATGGTGTTTCGGTTTTGTCCAACCAGGAGGAGGCCCCGGGGCAGAAGATGGATATGCTGGAGTAACTATATCTCTTGGCTGGCCTGGGAACACCTTGGTATTCCCTTGGTGGAGCTGGAGGAGGTGGCTAGTGAGAGGGAGTTGGGGGCATTCCTGCTTAGATCGTGACCCGACCCCAGATAAGCAGTGGATGATGGATGGATGGAATCATTAATTGAATGACCGGAAGTGTTTAACCTGGCCAATACTAAGTGTGCAGTTATAGAAAATGAATCAACACCTATCATATTTGATAATTCTACAATGCTGGTAACTTAACCAATTCAAGCAAAAATTTTAACAGAGCTCTCCTTCATTCCATAGGTGAACAATGAGACTAACAACTTGCCAGTGTACCTAAAACATGGACAACTGACTGTAACTTATACTGGCAGCACAGCTGTACTAACTACAGACTTTGGCCTCTATGTTTCTTTTGATTATAACTGGCAAGTAATCGTCAAGCTTCCAAGTAGCTACTATGACAGTGTGTGTGGCCTGTGTGGCAACTTTAATGGCAATCCTAATGACGATATGCGTGACCCAGCTGGCAACATTGTCTCCTCTCTTATCACCTGGTCCAAGAGCTGGAGGGTGCCTGACCCCCAAAATCCCAACTGCTGGGACACGTGTAAGGGCGACTGTCCTACCTGCAGTGGCAATATTGTTAAGCTTTATGAGACAGAGGGCTCTTGTGGTGCCTTAACCACAAGTGTGAACAATTACTTCCTGGAATGCCATGCTAAGGTGGACCCCCAGGCTTTCATGAACAACTGTGTCTATGATATGTGTGCCACCAATGGGGACCGGAAAATGCTGTGCTCGGCATTGGCTTCTTACAGTAATATGTGCCGTCTTCAGGGCATCATTCTTCAAGGCTGGAGAGAGAAATTTAATTGCCGTAAGTATTTTTCAATATATGTATATAGATATAAAAGATTAATATAGAGAAATAGATGAATAAAGTAAAACTTCAATTCAATTATGTTTTTTTTGGAGTGGACTGGTGGCTCTGAGACTAGGGATCAGTACCAGCAATCAGAAAATTGCTGGTTTGAATCCTGTGATTGCCTGGAGTGATACTAATCTGCTGGGCCCTTAACATACAATTGATTTAAGGAGGTCCTTCAGCTTACAAGGAAAATGTTGGGGATGGTGGCAGGGCTGGCACTCCAGCCACTGGAAAAACTCACCCTGTTCTATTGGACAATTGTGATGCTGAGGTATCACTCTCTGCATGGCTGCACTCAGATCTCTTCCCTGAGGTGGTTTATCGTGTGATGACTGCAGCAACATGCTGTAATCAGCACATGCTCCTTACCCCTCTGAGATGTTGTAGTATTCCGAATTGTCAATAACTGGATAAATTAGTTACATGATAATACTGTAAAAAGGAATAAATCAGATTAATTTCTACTTTTCAGCCATGAATTGCCAGCCGTACAGCCATTATGAGGCTTGCACAAGCCCTTGCCCGCTATCCTGCCCATTCCCAGCTCACCAGCCAACTTGCGAGGGTATCTGCGTGGAGGCCTGTGTCTGTAACGACGGCTACGTCCTCAGTGCAGGCCAGTGTGTGCTCCCCGAGACCTGTGGCTGTTCCTATCAGGGCCACTATGTAAAGCCTCATGAGCGCTTCTGGACCGAGGGCTGTCAGCAGCAGTGTGAGTGCGACCCTGACTTCCACACGGTAGTGTGCTGGTATGCGACCTGTGCATCTAACGAGCTGTGTATTCTCGAGGATGGCTTGCGTTTCTGTCGGCCCATCACCTACTCCACCTGTACAGCTGCCGGAGATCCTCACTACCACACGTTCGATGGATATTATTTCAACTTCCAGGGCACTTGTACATATCAGTTGGTGGCACTGTGCTCCAATGACCCTAAGCTCATTCCATTCACTGTCACGGTGCAGAACAATCATCGCGGCAGTGAAGTCGTAGCCTATACAAAAGTGGTGAATATAGACATTTATGGAATCACTATCACTATCAGCAAGGACTTCCCCTACAAAATCCTGGTTAGTGTCCTACAGATAAATATGAGAAACAATAGGAATTATTTTCTTTAAATGTGTTTATGTTTTCTTAAAAGCAGTATTAACACAGTTGGTATTGTTTACTTTTAATTTGCATATAACAGGTGGATGGCCAGGTTGTGTCTTTACCATTCTATTATGACAACAACCAACTGATTGTCTACCGTAGTGGCTCGATGGCAGTTGTAGAGGCAGGTTTTGGCTTACGGGTGACGTTTGATTGGAACAGCCTGGTCCAGGTGACCTTGCCTAGCACCTACTGGGGTGCTGTCTGTGGCCTGTGTGGCAACTACGATGGAAACCCGACTGATGACCGCACCATGAGGGGTGGGGGTATAGCCTCTACTGATGAGAAACTGGGTGCCAGTTGGCAGGTCGGACAAACAGTGGACTGTTCCTCCACTTGTGAGGGTCCCTTGTGCCAGGGGTGCTCTACCTCCCAGATGGAGGTCTATCAGGCCCAACGCTACTGTGGCATCATTACCCAGTATTACGGGCCTTTCTGGGCTTGCCGCACCTACATTGATCCTAAACCTTACCTGGAAGACTGTGTTTTTGATGCCTGCCAGTACAAAGGTTACCATGGGGTTATCTGCACTGCTGTAGCAGCCTATGCAGTAGCCTGCCAGAAAGCAGGCGTGAACATCCAAGCCTGGAGGAGCAGCACTTTCTGCCGTAAGTTTGTGCTTCATTCTGTGAGAATCTCTTGATTTTCTTTGCATGTGTGACATTTAAAAATGAAGTACTAACTTTGGTATATTTATGTTATGAAAGTATTAGCATAAAATGATAATATACTATGAGTGCAGGTGCACATTTTTTGTTTCTATCTCATGATTTAACCGAGACAGACCGGCCTTCCATTTTCATGTTGTCCCCCCTTTTGCAGCACCTAGCTGTCCCAAAAACAGCAATTACAAACTCTGCTCAGCGGGCTGCCCCGTCACATGTGCCAACCTGCCTTTAGCCACCCAGTGTCACATGAATTGCACAGAAGGCTGTCAGTGTGAGGAGGGCTACCTGCTGAGTGGTGATGCCTGTGTCCCTGGGATCCAGTGTGGCTGTTCCTTTTCCGGACGGTACTACAAGCTGGGTGAGGTGTTCTATGACGCAGGACAGTGCCAGACAAAGTGCCAGTGTGGGGAGAATGGTGCTGTATCGTGTGAGGTATCTCCCTGCAGCCCTGGAGAGGCCTGTCAATTGGTTAAAGGAGTGTGGGGCTGCTATTCCACTGGGAATGCTAAGTGCGTGGCTTCAGGGGACCCACACTACACCACCTTCGATGGGCGCAGGTTTGACTTCCAAGGACGCTGCATCTACACCCTCACTAAGGTGTGTGATAACAGCACACAGCTGGTGCCCTTTGCTGTGGAGGAGGAGAATGAGCCATACGGAGATGGCAGGGTGGCTGTGACCAGAGCTGTCGTGCTGCAGGTCTATGGCTATATTATCAGCATCAAGCAGGGAATGAAATGGGAAGTTATGGTGAGTGTTGCACTATTTCACCCTTTGTTTGTGCTGCAAAATTATATAGTATTGCTATAAACACCATTATAAAAATTGTATAAAAATGTTGTGTCCCACAGTTACTTTATTATTGGTGTTATTTTAATAATATTATCATTTCTTTTAAAACAGAAATATATTGTAATATGTTGGGCATATTTATCTCTTATATTTTTATCTTATATTTAAGGAATGCCACATTACAAAGCTGGTTTCTGCTGTACTTTACTGCAATATAGAGTAGATGATCAGACTTAGTATTTGTTAGGATGTGACATTACATTTACTTATGGCTCCACGATCCTGACAAGGATAATGTTGTGGTAATGTTATGGTTTTATTTTAGTGACAACATGTCATGTTTTTTGTTTACATACAGGTGAATAAAGTACGTTTCCACTTACCCCTCTTTTTTGATGATGGACGCATAACTATAAACCAGGAAGGCTGCAACATCATAGTGCAGACGGACTTTGGACTGAAATTACTCTATGACACTCAGTACTATGTAGAGGTGGACGTTCCTTCATCCTACAAAGGCAGCCTGTGTGGCCTCTGTGGAAATTACAATGGTGACAGTCAGGATGATTTCCTGCTGCCCAATGGCCAGCGGACAGCCGATGTGGATGTGTTTGGGCGAGCCTGGGTGGTCAACCTGCCGGAGGTTATGTGTGGTGGCTGTGGGAGCCAATGCCCAACGTGCAGCATAGACAAGCAAGCCCTGTATGGACAGCTAGAGTTCTGTGGCATCATCAACACCACTAGTGGCCCCTTCGCTGCCTGTCATGCTGTAGTTCCACCCGAGAACTATGTCAGCAACTGTATTTTTGACCTGTGCACCGTGGATGGAAACAGGACCACCCTGTGCAACAGTGTCCAGGCATATGCCATTGCCTGCCAGAGTGCTGGAGTTCAGATTAACGGCTGGAGGAACATTTCATTGTGCCGTAAGTGCAAGAAACATGGGGGGAGTTCATTATTTCAAAATTCACCTTATATTGTGACCGATATGCAATCCATCAGATGCACTGTAACATAAATGGTAGTAGCAGTGTGACGCAGACCCATTTCCTTCATTTATCTTCCACTTGCTTTGAAATTTGCAAGGATGCTGTAAAGCAGCTTTCATTACTTCCTTGATGGCAAACCCATACAATTTTTTGTATTATTATGCATTTGAAAGATGGGGTGAACAATCAGGATTCTTATTTAAAATTTCTCATTTTACTGTTTTAATATATATTTGTAGTAATATTTGTGGCATTTTAAGATTTATGGCAGTTAATGGTTGTAAAAATTGAAATGTCAAAAATTTGCAACAGCACAATGTAAAAATTGTGCAATGGGGTCAGTCATAAGCCAATTGTTTTGCTTTAGCAACACAGAGAAATATGGTGCATTTAACTGTATAATCTGTGTATCCCTCCAGCACTGACCTGCCCAGCCAACAGTCATTATGAATTGTGTGCTGACACTTGTGGCATGAACTGTGCCAACCTGGTCTTGCCCAGCACCTGCACCCCCCAATGCTTTGAGGGCTGCCAATGTGACCCTGGCTTTGTGTCGGATGGAAGCTCGTGTGTGTCTATGGATTCCTGCGGATGCATTTATGAAGGCCAATATTTGAAGGTGCAGAAAACCCCCTTTGCTCGGTTTAGTGTTCTACAGCTATTTCAGCTGGGATAGAAATAACATTCCCTGAATCTGTTTTCCAATAAACATCACAGATTTTACCAGTAAAGTTACATTTCTATGTCATATGTTTTTGCAAATTGTAATTGCAAGAAACTGCCACTCTAGATTTCAAATTAGCTATCGGATCTGCTGGCTTCCTATATGTATGAAGTTAGGTTCCCAATGTGGGATATTTTGTAATAATCACTGAATCATAGAAATGTGATTTTGTTCCTTTGACAGGTTGGTCAGTCCGTGGTGAATCAGCTGTGTAATTCAAAGTGCGTGTGTCAGGCCACAGGAGCCGTGACCTGTCAAGCGCTAATCTGTCCCGGTGGGCAGGTCTGTGAAGTGCGTGATGGGATCCAAGGATGTTATGTCCGGCAGGGCATCTGCACTGTCCAACAGGGGGCGATCCTCACGACATTCAATGGCATGGAGGGGTACATTAACCACAATGGGGCCTTTGACGTTGTCTCAGTCTGTGACAAGAACTTAAACAATTGGTTCCGCATTGTAGTTGAAATGTGCAGCAGGACTGGTTTCCCTGCTGTGTCCACGGTATTTGTGTACTACTTGGATACAGCCATTGTTATCAACAGGCAGCAAAGTACCTGGGTGAGTAGCTGTTTTGGTGGTACACAATACGTATGAGATGATTATCAGATGCTTATTCAATGTGATGATTATTCAGGTTCTTTAAGCAAAACTAATTGGATCTTATGTTCCATCTGTGTACAGGTAAATGGAAAGGAGACAACACTCCCTGCAAGACTCACAAGTGGGATAACTATCACTACTGTTGACGAACTTCTGATCATACAGATATCAGCAGATTTGCAAGTCTCCTATTCTACCAGCCAGGAGGTTAAAGTGACTATCACAGGTAGTCTGGGTAGCAAGTTGTGTGGTGCCTGTGGTAACTACAATGGAAACAGCAATGATAACATTTCACCACTAGGAGGCACAATCTCTGCTAACATCTCACAGGCCATTGACTCCTGGAGGGCCATGGATCTCTCTGGATGGTGAGAACTGTTCAAAATTATGTTTTATAAATTAAATCAATACATCCAATGTGATACATGAATTTTAAGTTGTATGTGTATAGTTTTAAAATCGCTTTGTTTCATTCAATTCTGTTGCCACTAAGAATTTCACAGTATTGCTCAGTTTGTCATATGATTTAATTCAAAGTATTTAATATTTGGCTACAAAATGCACCCTATTTTACAGTTACTATTGCTTGAGTATTTGATCAATTGCATGATAAATAACAAGTTTACACATTCAATTAGCAAGTAACCCATTCTACATTTTGTATTTCAGCTGTGTATGAAACTTGATGTCTATGACCCAATGTTTCAGCTCTCCTGCAACAGACTGGTTTTTTCCATGCAACCGTGTTTTTTTTGTTGATGATTTAAAAAAAATTCTTGAACAATACATATTCTTGTCAGTTATTGCCAAATTATAATTTTTTAAACAAATCTTTATAATCTTTTGGAAGAATGGATTTTTGTGACTAAATATATAAAATAAAATCTTATATTAAAGTTGATACTGATGAGATTTATTTTTTGCAAATATTGCTGCTACTTTCATAATGTCTGTTACTGTTCCTGTTAATGTTAATGTCCTGGGAATGCATCTGCATTTGTAGTCATATTATCATGTTACAGTTTTTCTCAATTGCTAAAACACAATTTCTGAAACCTTGCTCCATTTTCTGAAACCATTGAATGCATAACCTCATCTTCAAGCACTATTTACAAAACTTCTGACTCCTCTTGCAAAATTAAACTTTCGCCTAAAAACAGTTTTACCTGTGTTCAAAATCAAGCACTGCTCTCAAATCAAAAACAAAGTGATCAAAATGATATACACTATCAAGCACTCAGTAAACAATACAACAGAAAACACATTGTTCAAAACATATAGTTCTCAGGGAGAAGCAAATTTTTAATCTCAATGTTTTGGGCCATACAATTTGTTCATTGTACAGTAAACAGCATACAATGCACTGTACTACAGTATACAATACTAAAAGGGACAAAAATCAAAGGAGTAAACGTGATCAATTTGCTTCTTCTCATCTTTGGGCTGGGTCAGGCCAGAGCACTTCGTCAACATCACAAGCAATATTGTCCCTCCTGAGGCAACGGGGGAAGAAGCCTCTTTTGTGCCGTATCCAGCCCTGACATGATTCCTCACCTATATCACCACAAGCTAAATCCATGGCTTGCAGAAGATTTACTCTGGTGTAGGGTTGTCTATTATACACTTTCCATCTCCAAGAGGAGAAAAACTCCTCAATCGGATTTAGGAAAGGGAGGTACAATTTCATAAACTGCTCATTGATGTTAAACCATTCCCTTACCGGAGCAGCTCGGTGGAAACTGACATTGTCCCACACTATCACATAGGTGGGAATGGGATTCTCTTTTAGCTCTTGACCCTGATGGTCTTGAACCTGCAGCTCAAATAAAATATCTCTTAGATTGGCAATAAATCTTAGAAGGTGCTGGGTGTTGTATGGCCCGAGTGTAACATGGTGATGTAGAACACCATGGTTGCTAATAGCAGCACAGATGGTGACATTGCCACCTCGTTGACCAGGGACTTCAACAATGGCCCGCTGTCCAATGATGTTTCGGCCTCTCCGTCTCCTCTTTGTTAGATTTTGTAAGTCATACAGAGAAAGTGCTATACTGTAGAGTACA